ACATACAGACATACATCCATCCATCCATCCATCTACCCACCCATACATACATGCATCTGTCAACCGTCCATCTTTCCATCCATCCGTGCCTGATGCACGCATACATACATACACACATGCATTCATACATTACCCAAATTGTTATAGAACTTTATGTACGTATGTAGATATGCATACATATATTTACCTACACATACACTGCGTATTCATGGCATACATACGCACATACTAGCCTATGTGTATGCGTATATGTGCACTCTCTCTAGATATGTGATGAGCTGTGCCAAGGTTTTCGGCTACAGGGTGTCAGGGCTTCGCAGCTTTAGCAACTGTTCCCCAGAAAAAGTAGATCCCCTTAATTTGGAACCCTATACCACTATGGGCTAGATAAAGGAACCCTCTTAGGGGTTCCCCAGACGCAGCTCGAGACTGGGGCTTCCCCCAATCAGTGCTTTACGAGGCTGGCAGACAACAACACCAGAAGAAAAGAGATGAACACATATCCTTATGAGAGACAAGGAAGCAATCTAACAGCTCAATGACCTGATGCGAGAGTGTTGAAGTGCCAGGTTGCGCACTAGCTAGCACGCACGAATCTTACAGACAATCAGAACACAATGGAAATCGAAGACAATAGTTACAATAATTCGAGGTAAAAGCCCTGCAATGAAACCAGAAATCGCAGAACCGCAATACTTGGAAGCCGTGGCTCCAGGGAAAGTTTTTCATCACCAGGCTTTCGGCACCCTCTACATCCAGGGACAAGAAGTCGATCTGGCTAGGTGCGCCGAATTGCCTGCAGAGGTGCGGAGAAAAGGGTCGGGGGTTTAGGTTCAATGGCTGAGCTGGACAAGAAGAGGATTGTGTCTCGTTGACCGCAGGATCCAAGCGCTCTCAACACGCCTCAAGACGCTCGCCAGAGAGGTCGTCGTGTAGGAGAATGTCTCTTTCCACTCTTTTTTGGGTTTTGCATCGAAGTTTTCGCCTGATCTCAGCGTTGACTCTGCAATCTGACACCAAAGTGGGCATAATCAAGAAACCCCCGGCTGCGCATACGCATCCTGCATCCGTATGCATCTATGCGTCGGTGTGTAGTATGTATGCAATCAATGTATGTATGTATGTATGTAGGTAGGTAGGCAGGCAGGTAGGTAGGTAGGCATTGTATGTATGCAGTGTATGTATGTATGTATGTATGTATGTATGTATGTATTCATGTATGTATGTATCTGCGTGTGTATGTATGCCTGTGCGTATGCATCGGTCTTTCTACCTAGCTACCAGTACCTATCGATCTACCTATCTGGTGTGTGTATGTGTGTGTGTGTGTCTGTCTGTCTGTCTGATAATCTATCTATCGGTCTATCTGTCTACCTATCTATGTAAGTCTATCTACGTACGGATGCATGGGCGAATGGATGCATGCTTGCATGCATGTAAGAGAGAGAGAGAGAGAGAGAGAGAGAGAGAGAGAGAGAGAGTGTGTGTGTGTGTGTGTGTGTGTGTGCGCGCGCGTGCGTGTGCGTGTGTATGTGATATACACCGACCTAAAGTAGCTGCATACAGGCATGTGTGTATGCATGTATAGATAGACAGATAGATAGATAGATAGATAGGTAGATAGTGCATGTAGATGGGTAGACGAGAGGCTTTGAGACAGGCGCACAAATGCGTTTCTGTATACATGTATACATGTACATATTAAGATCGAACTGCATCACACACTCACCACATCACATTCACTTGACTTCCATGACACCCACAATGCCAGATGTCTCATCGTGGAGCTGGAAGGTGACCTTCCTTGGTCGTGTGTCCCCTTCCCAGGTCTCGTCGCCACACTGTGAAAAACTTGAACAAGCGGAGCTCCAATGTCTAAAGGGGCGACATGGGCTCAAAAGGCTTCTCGTCAACAAGCTGGAGGGCAGGAAGCGTGTGCAACAAGACTGTGAAAGAAGTGCCTGAACTCTTCTGCGGAAGCACCCCCATCTCTTCCCATGGCTCTACTTCCTCAACGTGACAGGCTAGCAGCTCGTCCTCAGCACCAACAGGTCCCAGGAAGAGGCTGGCATTGCGATGCAGCAGGCCCCACCAATAAGTCGGATTGGCCTAAGGGCAGCTAGGGCGTTTAGTCTGACTCTTCCACATCTGGCTTGCAAATACAGGCTCATGTACACGTCTCCCACAGCTTGAAATCCGAATTTCAATTCTACTTTGTTGAAAAGCCCTGCCTCGATCAGAATGCCGTTCCAGCCGAAGTCGCGTTCCTTCGAGATGCCAGGCTTGTTGCAGGTTCCCCTCACTTGCGTGCCTCGCTCCAAATCTCGCATCCAGCGATTTTCAATGCTTTGGCAAGTTTAGAAGACAGTTTGTTGCCACCTTCCTCCGCCTCGGATCTTTTACATTTTCCGGGATGACCTGCCCACTGCACCCGCCCGCAGGAATGCAAACTTGGACCGCAATGCCTCCATAAGTGGAAGGCAAGTAAGCGTCTGACCTGTTGCTCTAAAGCCTGGTAAAGCCTGCAATTCCTGAAACACAGAAAACGCAGGCCCCACCAGGGTCAGCGTGTTCGAGTTCTCGATAGCAATGTTCGCTGCAAGGTCCACGAAGAAACCGTTCCTGCTTTTCCGAGGGGCTTCTACTGCTGTGGTGCTGCTGCTCCCACTCCTACTCCTAGCCCT